TGCGAGCGGGTTTGCACACAGATACATCCGATGATCTGCGCTCAAAGGAAGGGGAAAATGCAAATTCCCTGTAGGGAGGCAACCGCCAGCCATGTAAACAAAGACGCCTTCTGGGTGTGCAGCAGTCAGCCCACTTGAGCTGCTGTTTCCATGGTGTACCAGATGCTGCATAATATGCTTTCTTCGGGGAGCGGGTCCTTGCATCCTCCCGCATTATCTTGTCTGATAATGGGCTCTCATCAGGCCGGTACCTCGCTGTCGGGGCCGAGCGCAGCGGCTCCCCCTGCCCCAGCCCTTTTCGGAGGAGTTTGTGGCTATTCACGTGCTTCCAGACAAAGAAAAGGGCTAAGTTGTTTATTTATTTATTTATTTATTATAACTTGGAACGGCATTGCTGACCATGCTTTTACACTTCATTGTTAGGAGTGACTGCTTAATGTGTTCTTCCTGACGTGCTTTGTGTCTGCTCACAATGCCTTGCATTGTTTTGCTTTTTGGCTTCCTTCTGTTTTCCTTAAATAAATAAGTACATAAATAAAAGGCCTACTTCTGTTTCCATTTTTCTCCATTCCCTCCTTCCTCACACACATGTTGCATCATTGTGGGGCCTGATTTGTGGCTGTGTAAACCGCTAGGTGCATGGCTAAGAGGCATGGTTTCTGAGTTTGCTTGCTCCTCTTTTTATTCCCCTGCTGTGTGGTCTCCAGGAGTTGAGGAGAGGTCTCTGTCTCTGTTTTCATGAAAAAACAGTTGCTGGTGGTGGGCAAGTGACTCAGTTGTCCTGTGTGTATTGCCTACAACTGCAGATACAAAACCAGGAAGACCTGCAGTAATGTGCCTTGGACCAGCTTGACCTCAGCTAATGTGAAGTTACTTACGAGGCTTGCTGTGTTTCAAACATGACTCACTGACGGAGGAGGCTGTTTTAAAGGTATCTCTTTCCTGGGAGCTGTGTTTGTTAGGGATGAGGCTGCAATATTGACAGGGCTACGTGTCTCCTTAGTGTGTGTTTGAGAGAGCTGTGAGGAAGGCCAATGAATTGGTGACCATCTCGGGGAGATGCAAGCTCCTTCATGCTTGGATAAAAGTTGAGGCTGTCCCTTGGGTCATACCCATGAAAGTCTTGCAGGTATTTGGGATAATGTCGTTAATTTGATGTGCGATTGAAAATGATAATTGTAGAGAAGAAAAACATCAAATCTGACAGTTTCCTCAACGATAGCATACAGCAGTTCCTGGTGTGCCATGGGTGGCCTGGTGCTCCTTGTGCCATGTCCTGCAGTGTGAGGGGGTTGGGGAGCCCGTGGGTCCCTGAGGCAGGCGGCGGAGGCAGAACCAGGCTGCACTATGTGAGCGAGAGCAAGCGGGATGTGGGAGGGCGTCCCGGGACATGGAGAATAAGGACTGTTTTTTATGCCCCAGGACGCTTTCTCACAGCTTCCCAAGTCCTTCCCTGTCCCCATCCTGGAGCTGTGTTCTTCTTGCTTTGACGAGCAACAAGAAAAAGAAAAAAAGAAAAAAGGAAAAGAAAGAAAAAATGTGTGTAGTTAATTTTAAGCTGGTGTAATCATTTAGGAGACCTGGAGGCGGAAAACCAGTTATTGGTTAACAGGCCTGATTTGAAATGTGTTCTGCCTGACCCCTCTATTGCAGCAAGCCAGGGGAAGGGCTTCCAAGAAGCCGACTTTCTGGAAGGCTTTTTTACTGAATCATTTAGAGCATCGGCTTCTTGTAAATGTTAATATCCTGCTGGCTCACTGGAATGCAGCTGGTGGAGACAGCAAGTGCAGCATCGATGTGCGTGCTTGCAATCCCAAGCAAAATTGAACGGGTGACGCTTAGGCTGCGGTTTGGGATATCCCCTTTGGATGTTTGGGCAAGGAGGGCCGGATTGCAGACTTGATTCTGCCTTGTCTCAAAGTCTCTCTGCCCCACACGACTGATGCTGCTTCTGTACGGGGGTGTTTTCAACCCCAGGTAGGCTCCGGGCTTGCTCTGGTGCCTCGAAGTGGCTGTAAATCTTTAACTGGAGCTGCTCGAACAGGCCGGGTGGCCGGCGTCGGCCTGAGACCAGCTGGTGTCGGGGCAGAGCAGGCAGGCAGGCCTCGGCCTAGGCCTTCCCCTCGTGGCCCACCGGGACAGCCAACGGCAGCCTCGTAAAGCTGCAGTGGTGCCAATCCAGCTGAAATCCAACTCTTGTGGAAGTTCTGCTATAGCAAAAGGCAGGAGAGTGTGTGTATATATGTACACACACACACATATATATATTCTTTTTAAGAAAAAAAAAAGTGCTGTATAAGAGAGTTATAGGTTGTGGTGAGTTCCTTGCTAACTTGGGTGATAAATTAGACTACTATTGATCACCAGATTTTCTTTCCTTTGGTGGGGGAAAATGCTCCCAAAGCACCCGCATGTTATACTGTACCTTGTTCATTTATGTCTGTGGTTTGTCTATTTATGACATTTCGTGTTGTTCTAGTTAATATTCTACAGTATGCCATAAAAAATAAGAAAGTTTCAATACGAGACCTAAGTACTTTATCTTGTTAGTGATTTTTCTCTGAAGAATGAAGATAGATCACAATACCGTCTTTCTTGAATTAATACAAATGCAGATTAATGCAGCCAAAGGTGTTATTTTTCCACAGACAAGTTCAAACACAATACTGTATGATTCTCAAGTGTTGCAGATTTGTTGAAACAAATCTTTTTTCATATTCTCTTTTGGGGATACATTTTACACACCTTTCAGAATAATCAATTTGAATTAATTTAGGACACTAACAGCTTAGAATAGTAGCAGATTTATTTATATAAATGGATACCAATTTTCATCAGTTATGAGGATGAAACACAGTAGAAATTCTAGAAGTTTGTTAAAATAAATCTGCTTACTATTCTGCAGAATCTCCCAGGTGACTACCTCATGCAATACTCCAACTTTGCAGGGTTTTTTTTAAGTAACTAAAAAATAAGCCTTTTGTGTTCTTCGATGTATTTCTCTTGCGTATAATAAGTCATATAACTCATTCTGTTGTTAATTTCTGTTCCCAAATCAAGAAATTGGGCAAAAAAATATCATGGAATAGTAGCATATTTTGGAGTGAAATTCATGAGAGGAGGGAGATTTTGTTTTTCAGGTCTCTAAGGAAAACATCTTTCATGGGTTTCTGTGTCTTTTTGTTTTTAGTCTCCCTCCCAGTCATAATTTCTCAACTTTATTTTAACCTATTGACAAGGAAAAAAAGAGATTTGGGGTTAATAGCTCTTCAAGTTGAGTTTCAAAACTGGAGTGAGTGATAGCAGTGCAGTATGATAGGCTTTGTGTCAAATACTTTTCTAAAATACAGTGATATTTTTCTTTCCTTTTATCCAGGGCTTTTGGGAAAGCCACACAAAACTCATAAGGGAGTATGGACCTGTTTGTGGGTAAGTCCAGCTGCACCACCAACTTTTTGCTTTTGTGACTGTGGCCTTTTGCTTTGGGTTCCTTTGAGAGAGGGGAGAAAATACCAAGACCACTGCACCAGAGTGCAGTATTTCAGCTCTTAGAGGTGGAGATGCTTTGGTCACACACAGGAAAATGCCTTGGGTTATGCATTGGTGTTGGGCTTCATTTTCCTCTTTCTAATGTTAAGCATCTTGAGGTTAATCTTTCTCAGCACCATAAAGCGCTGCCAGCCTTCAAAGTTCTTCTTTCATTTGCATGCTCCTTATCCTTGAGATCATAATTTAATGTCTTAAAAATAGTTTATGGAATAGTGTGAATTTTGTGCAGCTTTTGCCATCTATATTTATGCAGAAATCCTAAACTTAAAATATAATGAACAGCTTAGAAGTAAGGCATTCCTCTCTGTATAACTCAGCTATGCTATCTTAACAGTCTATTAGAAGTAGAGAGGGTTTAAGTGATATATTCTCTCATACCAGCGCTTTCACATTTCTGTGAAAGACTTTTCTATTCTGAGAACTACCTTACAGATGTCGATATTTTAAGTGGAGATGAGGTTATTTCACGGTAACTTCTGTTGTTATGGTGAGCTGGTGTTTCTAATGTGCTTATTATTTTAATCTATAAGCATTCAGCAATGTCTACAAAGTACAGACAATGTCAAAAGGTTTCCTGCTGTTGTCTTCAGAGGTTTTAAGACACAAGTAAGAATGCATATATGAACGCGTATGTGTATGCACAAATTTGCTCATAAATGATATAAATAGGCTTTGGATGCTCTTCCAGCTAACAAAGCTCTATTGGAAAGAAATCAGGCTCATCATACGAAGCATTTGATGCTCCAGTTGCAGCCTTTTTGTGGCATTTATGTTCAGCCCTAAGGACAAAGTGCTACAAGAAGAGTTGGAAATAATGAATTGTGTTGGTTAAGTTCTTGTCTAAGAAGAGACAATACAGTGCGTCGTCCAGGCAGAAATGGATAGAGTTATTCATTAAGAGTGTGGCAATTTGTATTTGTGTAACAAATGCAGAATGACTGAGGCTTATTATCTCCATGACCTTTGGTGTGATGCCTTTAAATGACAATAATATAAGAACGCTGGCATTCATTCATTCCTCAGTGTATTTCCCTCCTTATTAATATCATGCCTATTTCTTCTAAGACGAGTTAAAGGCAAGTTGCTATTTAGTTGTTTGCCCCCTACCTTGGCCAGGCGGAGGCTATGCCATTGGAGAAAGGGGTAGATAATTGCAGTGTGTGAGTGGATGAGGAGAAATCTTCATTTTTCCCCTCTGCTCATAGCTATTAGAGAATGACATTGTATTGACTACGGAGCTGGGTGACAGTGGTGGTCTGCAAGGATGACTCTGCCTCCTTGGGATGCCTTCATGGGCAGGAGGAGCGAGCGTGACTGTGTCCCCTTAATCGTGTGCCTGTCAGACACGATTTGTGAGGGGTCTGGGAGGCTGGCAGAGAATAAATACCGCTTCTGACATCTCTCAGGAAAACAAAGCTGGGCTCAAACATCGCTGTGCTTGGGGTGAGCTTTGTTTGTGGCTGAAGAAAGAGGTTTTAATACCTGCCTTTTGCTAAGTAGTTGTGGCATGTGTAGGGGGTATTTATCATGGTCCAGCCACCTGGCGAAATTCCTTCTCCTTCCCAGGGCATCTTCTATAGGACTCTGTGGATTTCTTTTGAAATAGGGAATGAATGGTAGGTATATTTATGTGTACAGTCCCAGTAAAGCTTTGGATCTGGCAGGCTGGGAGAAGATGTGGCATTTTGCCTTTTTCAGATCGAAAACTGCTTTCCAATAAGCATAAAGAGCAATGATCTTTATTTCTACAGTGGTGAAGTGAGTTGAATACAAATCTTTGGAACTGAAGCCTTTTTTTTTTCTTTCTAAGGTCACTTGAATAGTCTGAATGATACCATCACAACTGTTTTCTTTTGTGTGTGAATTGGTCTCCTTGACAACAGGATGTCAAATCAACTTTTCAGCTTTAATCAAGTCAAAACAATATATCCCTTCCATTCCAAAAGGCCTCAAGTCGTAGAGAATTATTTCAAGTAAGGCTTTTGTAGGTCACAAAACCATTTTTTCCCTCGCGCCAGTGTGCGAATCCAAAAGAGAGGTGATAGTGTTACTCTTCTATAGAGACAGACAATGCAAATAGTCTTCAGTTGTGAGTATGTGCTGTGAAAACTGCTGTCTGTTTTCATACAGAGGAGGCCCATGATGGAGAGGAGGGGGGTAGGAAGCAACTTGGTGGTTCAGTGCAAAAGCAGAGCTAGACCGACGCGAGGAGTTCATGTTCCAGACATCGTGATGGAAGTGATTATGCAATAGAAAGATAGATTTTGGTTAACTTATATTTTGAAGTACTTTTGATAAAAATATTTCCTATGAAATATATGTGCGGATGCTCCACACCAAATGTAAAATGAAGAATAACCTGTTTGGAAAGCAATGTATCGATGAGCATTAACATTTGTGATGAATATTTATCTTTTTCATGGTAAGAGTTTCTCAGGAAAGTAGTCTTGGTTTCTTTGGAGATTAGTGGCATATGTCACGTGTTTGGAGTGAACTTTTATGTTTTGACATTTCATTCTCAATTGTTCCATTTCAGCTGTAGGCAATGGCTGCTCATGGGAAGTGGGTGGTAAGAGGTGGTAAGAGTCAGAAAAGCAATTGCTAGAACATCGCAGAACTGCAGGGGCAGTGAGATCATTTTGACTTTATCTACACACCTTACATGGCTTGGATTGGTTATTTTGGTTACGTCATTAGGACTTTATGGCCCTGGAAGTGTGCAGGGGTGATGTGGAACAGGAGAAGAGTGCCAAAATAAGTATTCTTGGCCTAGAGAAGACACCAAGTACAGAAAATACTTGAAAGCCTCTAGTGGGCAGGTGGTAACTGCCTCTGGGATGAATGAATCTATCCTGCTGCCATCCATAGCTGTGAATTTGGGTGCTGGGGAGAGTGCACGAGTTTATAACATGTTCCTTACTGGCCGTAAAAAAGGAGTCATAATGTAACATTAAAAATCAATGAAATTTGGGGGGGTTGGATATTGTTTCTTCACACACTTTTGCATACGAAACAGCTTGCAGTAGGTCAAAGCCTGTTCTTACTCTTCCTTGACTGGAGCTGTCAACATCAACCTGTTACGAGAAGACTTGCCAAATATGCATTGTTCTCTGGGCTCACTGCTGCTGTATATTTATCCAATGTTTTTCGTGTTTTTCTTGAGGAAAGTGGAGGAGGCCACAATGTAGTTTTTTAAAATGCAGTCACATATCTTTGCGAAATTTACAAAAAAAGAAGTAGCACTGGAGTTGTTTTTCATTCCACTCTTTTGCTATTGTTCTAAATGGATTTTGAATGTGTCTAATCATGACTTTAAAATAATTAATTCTATTTTATTGTGGAAAATTGAAGTAAAAAATGGGATGAAGAGATAAAATTGCAGAAGTTTGTGGAGTATTTTGAAGTACCTGATGCTTTCCTGACAGCTTATTAAGGAGATCACAGAATCACAGGATGATTGAGGTGGGAAGGGACCTCTAGAGATCATCTAGTCCAACCCCCCTGCTTAAGCAGGGACACCTAGATCAGGAATAACTACTCACTGACAGTCAATCACAGCTATTCAGTGTATCTAAGATGTGATTAAAACAAGGACTTTGCTGTCCTAGGCATGTACAAACAAAGAATAGAGGATGATCCTCTGAGCTTACAATCTAGACAAAAGGAAGAAAGGCAAAGAAAGCAATATAAGTGTTGATCTGTAGACTGAACTCTGTCATGCCACCAACAGTTATCTCACTTGCATGCATTTGTGGGTAGGGAAAAAGAAAATTTGAGAGCTACTCAGGAGAAAATCTGTGGAGTAGAAACTAGTTCAATAAGTACTAAAGAGAAGAAAAAGTAAGGTAGAGACAAAGAGATTGGATCCAGGAGGAGCAGGAAGAGGGAATAAGGAACAAATCGATTGTAGAAAACAGAAGAGGACTGGGGAGTTTGGACCCAGGGTTGTCAGGATGTGAGTCGGCAAAGGGAATCAACAAGTTCAAAATCAGCATTTTCTGATGGAGGTAGAAATTAATCAGAACGTTTCTGGCAAAATCCAGTTGCAAGTCATATGTGGTTCCTAAAGTTCCTAAAACCCAGTTGCAAGTCATAGTTGGTTCCTAAAGCCATCAGCTGCTGCATACTATAGCGATGTCTTCTCTCACAAAAAAACACCATTGCAGACAGTGCTAGTTAGTGTTTTGGCAAATGTACCCACAGTCAGAGAGATGTGGGCAAGAAACAAGGTTTCCTCCCCACTATTCCTAGCCTTTGTGCAGGGCTGAGGCATACTGCTTATTCCTTGTCGAGGTTTGGAGCTTTCCCCTCTTGTGTATAAAAGAGGGATGTGAATTTCTGGGATTTAGGAATCCCAGAATCACAAAGCATCACCCTTCCTTATACCCTCCTTAAAACACCTAGATGAGAACCTAAGCTGAATAGGGAACAGAGTCTCATCCTACAGGGAACAGCTGAAATGTTCATCATACAGTTAATTCAGTCTGAAGAACCTGTTATTTTAATGACCCAAACTCGTTTTTGTACCTCTCAGTTTCTAGCAACTTTCTAATCTTATTCTGCTTAATGTGGAAAGAATAATCCTGGGACAGATATTTTCATTTTTGTTTCTGAAGGCATATGTGAAGAAGTTTTGTGACATCATGAAACAACATTATCCTGTTTGATTTAATCCTTTACACTGCAGGTCTGATGGACTTGCTACATTTCCTGTGGTTCTTTATTTTTATATTTCAAACAATTTACTACATCATATTTCAGTTAGAGGAAATCATGCCTAGACTAAAACTGGGAGAGGGTAGTAAAGCAGGCGTCCTGTTTCTGATCTGTATGTCCTTATAATCTGTATTTTTTTTTAATTAAGGCGATATGATAAGGTC